TGGAACTGTTTAAACGGAAAAGTTTGGGTTTTCTAACTAGGCTTGAGATTTTGCTTAAATTATAAAGAAAAGGGGGAGAGTTAATATTCCTTAGTCTAATTTCAAAGGTTGTTTGAGTGGATTAATGTCATGTTTTTGTTAGTAAGAAATGCAAATGGGGTATACTAAGAGACTACTTTTAAAGTGTAAAGAGTTTTATTAAGAAACTGCTTTTGGATGTTTTGCTAAAAGTTTTCAAAGTGTTCATGGTTAGATTGAAAATATTGCTTTTCAATATGGCTTTGTAGGAATTGTATAAGTTTGGGTTCCTCTAACTAGGTTTGAGATTTTGTTTAAAAAATTATAAAGAAAAGGAGGAGTTATGAGATTGAATTATGTTTGCAGAAACCTATTGATATTAATGTACCCTGGTTTTGTGGAGTTAAGGAAATATTTAAGTTTGATGTGAATACATTGAAGTTTTTCCTATGTTCTGTTAGCAAGAAAATTCAAATGACTGAGTTAAAGTTGTAAGACGGAGAAAATTGTTAACTATATATAGCACCATATATGCTAATTCAAATGGTTCTGTTAAGAGTTTGCTTTGAGTTATAAGATTGAGAGAATTGTGACTATAGCAATATTTATGTTAATCTGTTAATGGTAATGATGAAGCTAAGGGATTCTTTAAGTTTGCAGTCGCCTTAAGAATTTTTGGTTTAGAAAGGGCTTGAGGCAGCTAAGACTGCTGTAGTCACCTTGGACCTAATTCAAAAGAGAAATGCCATCTTTATCATCCTCTACTCCCATATTGGGAGGTGTAACAACTATGGAGATTGCTGTAAGCCATTAATAGTTATTTTTTTATATATTAAGAAAGGGGGACCTGTGGGAGCCCATTCTCGGGTTCCTCGTGGCTTTACCCAGCATGTCCGCATAGAGGATGATTAGGACCACGGGCCTGAGTGCAGGTGTCTGGGATGGTCTGCACTTGGCTGTGCTGGGGGAGGAGGTCTTTTGCTCCACCCCTTGGCGTCTCTATAAAAACCCTGGGGCAGACACAGTCGGGGCCCGTTGGAATAGGTTCCAGGCCCTCTTGAGGCTATCCTTTATTTTCTATCTGTTTATCTCCGTGATATTCTCCGCAATAAATCCTTCTATCTAATATTTCCTGCTGTTCGCACTCAAGAAAACTCTGGGGAACTGTGGGGGTGGTTGGGTAAACGCCCCACAGGTAGACAGTAAAGGAAACCACCAAAAACAGAAAGTTGGTAAAGATGTAATTGAACAAGAGGGGCATGTTCCAATCCCAGCAAGCAGCAGAACTTGGCAGCTTCGGCCATATGGTTCTGGCTTTATAGTCAAGGATAGAAGAAAGGGGTTATGGAATCTTCCTCCTTCATTAAGGAAAGCTGCTGAGGCCAGGCATGTGTCAGGGTGTCCCTGCATGGAGGCCTAGAGAGGCCATTGTGTGAAGCTGTGAAGGTGAAGTCTGGATTGCCTTGTAGAATCCAAGATGTTGGAGATGCCAGAGTTGTGGGGTACCTGCTGAGGAGAGCTGCTAAAAAGGAGTAGAACCAGCCCAAGAGAAAGAAGTGTGTTGTAGTCAAGATGAAAGGAGCTGGAGATCTGAAGAGCATTTTGATATCAGCCATGGAGATGCAGAGTTTGGAGTTTGCCCAGCTGGTTTTCAGTCAAGTTGGTCCAGTATTTCCTCACTGTGTTCCCTTTCCTCCATTTTGGAATGGTAATACATATCTATTGGTGAAATTATTAAGTTTACTCCACGTAGTTAAAAGAGGTTTATTTTGTGGGGTTACTTACAAGTGAAGGGATAGGTTACAGGGTCTGGGAAAGGTGTAGCTTAGTCCGGCGGTGTTCTCTGGAGAACACTGCTCAGTCTACCTCCAGGGTCCAGGAACCAAGAGAGCCAGCCCATCCGGATCCTGCGTCTTCAAGGGTCCTCTTTCGGCTCAGCCTTGTAGGCGTGACAGTTACCGAAGTCCTTCCAGATCAAAGCTGGAAAGCTACCCACTACACATATTCTGTGCCATTATATGTTGGAAGTATGTGATCTGTTCTTTTGATTTTGATTTTATAGGGGGGTTACAGTTAAGAGATTGCATGAATCTCAGGAGACTTTGAATTTTGGACTTTTAAGTATTGTTGAGACTGTGATAGACCATGGGGACTTTTGAAGTTGGTCTAAATGCATTTTTCATTATATTATGCCTACAAGCCTATGGAGGCCAGGGAGTGAAATGTGATGGTTTGACTAGGCATGGTCCCTTTGTGGTGATAATGTGTTCCCCAATATATCGTGCACCCTAATAAACTTGCCTAGGGTCAGAGAACAGAACAGCCACTAGACAGACATAGAGACCAGAAAATGGTGGCATTCACATCCAGAGTCAGAGATCCATCTGGATCTCCGTGAGTAAATAGCCAGGCATGTTGACTCATGCCTTTAATCCCAGGAAGTGAGCCTTTAACCCCAGGAAGTGACGACAGAAAGCAGAAAGGTATATAAGGAGTGAGGACCAGGAAATAGGCAGGTTAAGCTTTTAGGCTTTTAGCAGCAGTCAGCTGAGACCCATTCGGATGAGGACACAGAGGCTTCCAGTCTGAGGAAACAGGATCAGCTGAGGAATTGGCAAGGTGAGGTGGCTGTGGCTTGTTCTGTCTCTCTGATCTTCCAGTATTCACCCCAATACCTGGCTCAGATTTGTTTTTATTCATAAGACCTTTTAAGATTTGTGCTACACCCCTTATACTTATATGCTTGAGTGCTTGGCCCATAGGGAGTGGCACTATTAGGAGGTGTGGCCTTGTTGGAGGAAGTGTGTCACTGTGGAGGCAGGCTTTGAGGTCTCCTATGCTTAAGCTATGCCCAGAGTAGCACACTGTTGCTTCTGCTGCGTGCAGATCAAGATGTATAACTCTCAGCTCCTTCTCCATCAATTAGAAAAACAAATAGACTCTGTGGTAGAAGTAGCCCTCCAAAACAGAAGAGGATTGGATCTACTGTTTCTTAAGGAGGGAGGTCTCTGTATGACATTGTGGGGAACTTGTTTTTAATGCCAATCATTCTGGGATAGTCCAAGACACCTTATCAAAGGTAAAACAAAAACTGATGGATAGGGAGGAACAAAGGAGACAGGCTGGTAACTGGTTCCAGAGTCTCTTTAATTGGTCCCCTGGGCTAACCACTGTGCTCACTGGCCCGCCTTCACCTTCTGCTTCTCAGAGGACCTTGCATCCTGAATGTTTTAGTTAAATTTGTTCAGTCTAGAGTTTACTCAGTTAAGCTCATGGTCCTAAGGACCCAATACCATCCCTATACTCTGAAACAGATAATCAAGGATTTGAATAATGTACAAAGACAAGGGGGTAATGTAAGCCATTTTGAGTAAAACTTCCATTTTGAATAGGGATCAAAAATGTTTAAGTTCCCAAGACCTTCCTGGGTAACTGACATCCTGTTTGGCACGTTGAGACATGAATGTAGGGCAAGCCACACAGCCACAGGTGAATAAACCAACCAATGAGAATAGGATAAGCATACCACAAAGAAATGTCCCTAGGAAAGTCCCCATCCTTGAGTCCTGATTCGTGAAAAATGTAACTGTAACTTGGCAGAGATATTTGTGGCTTTTGTGCTTAAAGCTCTGGAGCATTCTGGCTCCGGGGTCACAGTTCAGCTCCCAAGTCTGTTCTGTGTCCCTGATCGATCAATAGTGGCCTGATTACAATAAACTTTTTTGCATTGACTTGGAGTTTAGGCTGTGTTGGATGCAAGCAGACCCCATAACAGCAGAATTTGCTTAGCATAGAAAGACAACAGGGCAAACCATAAATACAGATTTTTAAAATGTTTGTTTTATTTTTAATTTTTTCAAGACAGGGTTTCTCTGTGAGGCCTTGACTGTCTTGGAACTCACTCTGTAGACCAGGCTGGCCTTGAATTCACAGAGATCCACCTGCCTTTGCCTCTGCTTTCTGAGTGCTGGGATTAAAGGCATGTATCACCACCACTGAGATTGTTTTTTTTTAAATCCTCTTCTTTTTTGGGGGCGGGGAGGGACAGGATCTTACCAGGCATGGAACTCACTCTGTAGCCCAGGCTGGCCAGGAACTCACAGAGATCCACCTGCCTCTACTGGCTAAGTGCTGTGATTAGAGGCATGAGTCACTACACTTGGTGCTTAAAAAAAATCCGTTTCTGTTTTACTTATATGCATCTGTATGTGTCTGTGTACATGCGTGCAGATGCCCAAGGGGGCCAGAGACATTGGATCCCCTCGAGCTGGAATACAGGCACACCCTGTGTGGGTCTGAGAGGCAAACTGAGATCCTCTGCAAGCACTACACTACACCGAGCCATTTCTCTAGCCCCTAAACACAGGTCTCTACAGTTTTTATTGCATTTATTTATTGTGGTGTGTGTGTGCTGGGGTGTGACAGTAGGAGGACACTTGTGGGCTCTGCGGAACTCAGGTTGTCAGGCTTGGCAGTGGCCCTGGCACACTGAGTCACCTAGATGGGTCCAGCTTTTCTTTTCTTGTTTTTTTCTGAGACTGGGTGTCATGGAGCCAAGGCTGACTTCTAACTTGCTGAGTATGACCTTGAACCTCTCCATCCACTCCTGAGTGTTAGCTAGGATTAGGGATGGCTCCCAGGGTCTCAGGCTACGTAAAAACTCCTAACAACTGAGCCAGGCCCCCATTCAGATTTTGACCAGGCATCTGAGGAGCATTCCTCAAACGGTAAATTTAGATACAGAAACAGAGCTTGTCGTTTTCTTAGTTTGGGATATTTTTTTCCTTGTACATCATAGATTTTCATTGATGAAAGTGAGATGGCTTAATTTTGGAGTCGTGAGTTGAGGGGCCTGTGGGGAATCTAAGAGATTCAGAACCTGAGCCCTACAGGTTGAAAATCGCCGTGGGCTGTGACTTTACAATAGGGGAGCCATATATTATGATTTATCGCAACTGAATGTGCATTGAAAGTTTACTCACCTCTCCAGATTCATCCTCTCAGGACAGTGCTGGCTGCATACAGCTCTGCAGGAGGTTTTATAAATCAGAATTCCCCAGACATGGCCCACAAAGCTGTGCAATTGCGCTCCAGGTCTATAGGGACTGACCAGAGGGCACGGCCCCTAGTCTCAAGGTTAGAGAAGGGCTTTATGGTTCCCAACTGCCTTGAGAACCCAGAGGTCCAGAACAAAACACAGCTAGGAAGAAGGGCGGAGCTGGTGTGTTCTGGCGGCTGCGCAGTGCACGTTTCTCCGCCTCCTCGTTCTGGCTGCCCAGTGTTTTTCCAGCTGCCGGCTCAGACTTCCTCTCCCCAGAAAGGAGATTCGGTGTACATTTTTTTTTTTTTTCTTCCTGCGCGTGAAGCTCCAGCAAAGTCAGGTAAGGACCGCAGTACCCTTTTAAAAGCAGAGTCCTGTCCTTTTTTCCTTAGGAAAGTAACGTGGTCACAAGCATTGTTTGTAATTTAACCTTTTTGTTTCTTTGCTTGAGACAAGCTCTCACTTTGTAGCCCTGGCCTGCAGTGCAGCCCAGACTTGCTCAAATTAGAGGCAGTTCTGCCCTAGCCTCCCAAGCGATGAGATTACAGACATGTGCTACTGTGCCCTGCATTGTTAACCTTGTGCGTGGTGTATGTGTGTGTGTGTGTGTGTGTGTGTGTGTGTGTGTGTGTGTGTGTGTGTGTGTGTGTGTGTGTGTGTGTGTAGACCAGAATGTGTCACCAGAAGCTAAAGTTACAGGTACACACTCTGGGACATTGACACTGGGAACCAAACCCTGGTCCTGCGGAAGAGAAGCAAACTCTCAATGCCTGCACCTTCCCTCCAGGTGGTTTGCTCATTCTGTCTGTCTGTCTTTTTGTAAGATAGTAGTCCAGGGAGGCAGTCCACCTACTGAGGGATTGGAGTCAGACAGATAGGAAGAGGGGCCATGACTGGATAATAAAGTGGAAAACTTCCGAGATGGATGGTTTTTCCTCACCCTCCTGACCTGAGACAAAAGCCTAGCATCTTAAAACAAAGGCCCTGTGAGCTTTTTCTCCTTCCTGCAGGCCCCTACTGAGGAACTGGCTCCACAAGCTGAAGGCCCCAACAGGACATGTTTTCACAATAGTTGTCCAGCCAGCCATCCCGTCTTTCTTCAAAGTGATCAACACCAAATTAGGGGAGCAAGACCCTTCAGAGACTTAAAAAACCCTAACCTTCAAGAGGAGACTGGATTTCCAGCTCCCCAAGTGCCCCTTCTACTTTGAGGAGTCTTTTTCTCTGTGTGTTTGCTGCATGTGTGTGTTTCTTCACCCCTCAATAAAAGCCCTTCCTAAACTATTGATCCTGTCTGCTCCTGTTTTCAGTGTCTGAGATTTCTCCACTGCTACCTGTTGAGCTTGAAAGTTTTCCTGCTTTTTAACTGTGTAACTGGCAGAGAAAGCTGAACCCAGTCAAGACCGCTAGACAGTAACACTGCCCCAGTCAGGTATGGCAGGGTGTACTGACAGTCTGGCTTGAGTTCAGCTCTTTTTTGTCACTGCTTCTTTCTTCCACGGTGATCTGCCTGCCTCTACCTCCCAAGTTCTGGGATTAAAGGCAAGCTGTGCACTACCATACCCAGCCTGCTATCTTTCTTATAGCATAATTTGAGTACCTACTTAGATTGTCTTTGTAACTTCTTCATAACCAAACTGTCAGTGCTGGGAAGACTTGGTGTTCAAATTCAAAGTAATTTCTTATTGCTCTGCTGTGAACCTTAAAGCACCATTGGTAGAGTGCTTGCTTAGCATGCATGAAGCCTTGGGTTTGACCCCAAGCAAAAATAAACCTGGAGTAGTGGCTGCACAGCACTTGTGATGTAGGAGAGTCAGAAATTCATCATTATCCTTTTCTATTTAGTTGGAGGCCAATCTGAGCCGTGAGACTGTCTGAAAACAACAATAATAACGACAACAAAGGAGCTGGAGAGGTGGCTCAGAGGTTAAAAGCACTTGCTGCTCTTGCAGAGGACCAAGGTCAGCTCTCAGTACCCATGTCAGCAGCTCACGACTGCCTGTAAGAGGAGCTGGTGCCTCTGGCCTCTGCAGACAGTCACATACACTCAGACACACAAATAAAAAGAAATCTTTACAACAACAGAAGGTCAGGCATAGCAACACAAGCCATCTGTCCAGCACTCTGGAGGCAGATGCAGGTGGATATCTGTGAGTTCAAGGCATGAGTTCCAGGACAGCCAGAGCTACATAATAGAGAGACCCAGAAAACAAACAAAAGATGGCATTCCTCGTTTCTCCTTACCAGTGTATACTTTGGGTTATAGATACTTTAAGTTTAGGTTTGGTAAAGTCGAGTCAATATTGACAGGAATTTAGAAGTTGGTGTCCTATTACAATGAAGTCCAGGCTGGATAGAATGGCATAGAGCTGTAATTCAGCACTCAGGATACAGAAGCAGGAGCCTAACTGCAAGCTTGATGTCAGTTTGGTCTACGTAGTGAATTCCAGTGCAGCTTAGGCTACAGTATGTCTATATTTGATGGGTACGGCTGTTTTGCCTGCGTGTGTATAAATGCACTGTGTGCTTGTGTGTGTGTGTGTGTGTGTGTGTGTCTGTCTGTCTGTCTGTGTCTGATGCCTGACAAAGCCAGAGAAGGCACCAGATCCCCTGGAGCTGGAGTTATGATTGTGAGGTATCATGTGGGTGCTAAGAACTGAACCTGGTTCCCCTGCAAGAGCATCAGGTGCTCTTAACTACTGAGCCATCTCTTTAGCCCTAGAGCAAGTGTATCCTAAAAACAAAACAACAAAAAGGTATACCTTATTTCATTTTCTTAAAGATTGCTGTAAAATCAAATGCCTGTGTATTTTTGTCATTATGAATTACTAAAAGGATTTCACAGTAAAAAAAAAAAAAAAGTAACTGGATTTCTTTACCCAAATTGATAAGCCAAAGCTGTCCTCTGAAATGAACTTGTGCTTGTGAGTTGTTAGAGCTTACACTCGCTTATTTTCTTGTTATGTTGAAAGATATGGACTAAGAATTTTCAGTATTGCTTGTTTGTTTGTTTGATGTACAGATCCAAACTTGCAGTGTCCACTAAGTGGAGAGGCAGACCCTCATCCTGTCTGCTTGGGGAGCAGTCCTTTTTAATAGCAACACTGCCAGAACCTGAGGTTTGGAGAAGTACTAATGGCTTTCAGCCTGGGTTGGAAAACTTCCAGGAGCCAGTGGCGTTTCCTGCAGGCTATGAGCAGTGGGTTGCCCCTGTTTCCCTGGAGGACAGCAGGGAGCTGTTTGGACCCTGAGATGAAAGCCTACCTGGAGGAGAACACTGAAGTCACCAGCAGTGGCAGCCTTACCCCTGAAATCCAGCTACGGCTTTTGACCCCCAGGTGCAAGTTCTGGTGGGAAAGGGCTGACCTGTGGCCCTACAGTGATCCCTACTGGGCAATCTACTGGCCAGGAGGCCAGGCCCTGTCTAGGTATGTCTCGGTGAAATGTGCATCTTTAAGGCTGTTGAAGATCCTTTTCCCTTCAGCACCCACCCCCAACTCCGTGCTATTTTTTTCTGGCCCTATAACATAACAGCAAAACCAGAAAGTCACTGGGGCTCATGCAGGTCCCAACTTATGTGTGGCTTGGATTGCTATCCTTCTCATAAAATAGAAGAGGATTTGTCCTATGGGAAGACAAAGTCATCTCCAAAAAGGCCTCCTATAGTTATCCATGATGGTGTGTGTGTCCCTTTGTAATCCTAGCACTTGGAAGCTGAGCCAGGAGCGTTTGAAGCTATCCTGTGATATATAGCAATGCTTTCTTAAAAATTTTTAAATAGTATCTATATACTCACATACTTGACTTTGGCACTTGCCACAGAGAGGAGAGTGGGGGATTGAGGCCTCTCGAGTCTGGGATTTCAACTGAGACCGAGAGAGAAGACAAGGATTGTCAACTAAAAAATTCAGAGAGGGCTGTAGCTACATCCAGAACTGGCCACTGTTAAATTAGCTTGGCTTCACAACTGTCATAGTTGTTGATACTGTAATGACAAAGTAGTTCTCTTCACACCTGTCATGGGTAATCTTTGTTGTCAACTCAGTTGAATTTGAAATTACCATCAAGACACAGCTGTGGGCATGTCCAGGAGGGTGTGCTTTTGTTAGAGTTTTCATTGCTGTAATAAAAAACCACAACCAAAAGCAGCTTTTTGATCACGGTCTATCATCCAGAAAGTCAGGGCATGAACTCAAGTCAGGAACTTTGAGACCATGGAGGAGCCCTGCTTCCTAGCTTGCTCTTCATGGCTTGCTCAGCTTGCTTTCTAATACCAGACAGCATTACCTGCCAGTGCATTGCTCCCAGAGGGCTGGGCCCTCCCACATCAATCATTGGTGTGGATCACATGGTGACCATTGCTGCTTGACTAGTTCCAGCATTTCGACTTTGTGGATCACAATTCCCCAGCACCTTTACTTCCATTTTTAATGATTCTCCCATGTGTTTTGGGAGTTCCCTTGTGCATTTTCTTTTGAGAAATTTTGTGCAGGCTTTGAAGGATGAAAATATATAAAATGGCAACCCCTTTAAACAAAATAATTCTTTGGAAAAAAACTCTGCCACCATGGAACCAATATAGTGTGATGACTCTGCCTACTCCTGCACAAGTTAACACCAAGCTCCTAGAAAATTTGGGTAAATAACATATGCTTGATTAATAAGGTATATTTGATAATCAAGATTGGTAAATTCCTAAGGTCTATTCAGGTTCACAGTAACATTTGTCTAACTTCATCTTTACTCACTTTAAGCTTTAGCTATTTGGATAAATTAAGCTATATATATATAAAAAAACTGCAATATTCTATATTGGAGTGTCTGGTCCCCCAAGAAAATCCTTTTCCCAAGTTCAGACATTTAGACAAAAGCCCCTGTGGTAGTTTGAATGTAAGTGGCCCCCATAATCTCATAGGGAGTGGCACTATTAGAAGGTGTGGCTTTGTTGGAGGGGATAAGGCCTTGTTAGAGAAATACGTCACTGTGGGGGCAGGCTTTGAGTTCTCTTTTGCTTAAGCTTCGCTCAATGTCAAAGTCTATTTCCTGTTGCCTTCTGGTCAAGATGTAGCCAGCACCATGTCTGCCTGCACACCACCATGTTCCCTGCCATGATGATAATGGACTGAACCCTGAACTGTAAGCTGGTACCTCAATTAAATGTCTCCTTTATAAGAGTTGCCATGGCGTTGGAGTCTCTTCACAGCAATAGAAACCCTAACTAAGACAGAAGTTGGTACCAGAGACTGAGATATTGTTGTACTCTACCCTGTTTTGTTTGGAGGAATCTGGACTTTGGTACTTTGGGTTAGGAAAGCAGTGGAATGCTTTAAGCACTGCTGAATGGGTCACACTAGTAGGAGCATGGAAGACAGTGGTGCTGGATATGATTTGAACTGTCTGGGGCTGGATCAGGAGATTTCAGAGGAGAAGAATTTTAGTATGTTGTCTAGAAATTGTTCTTATGAGATTTTGATGACGAATGTGGCTGCTTTTTGTCCTTGTCTGAAGAGTCTACCTGAGGCTAAAGTGAAGAGATTTTGATTAATTACACTGGCAGAGGAAATCTCAAAACAGTCTAGTATAGACTGTTGTGTGGTTATTACTGTTAACTCTGATGAAGATTTATAATGAAAAGAAGCAAGCTGAGCAAGGAAAAATACAAAATGTACAGTTCAAGGAGAAAAAGGGCACCAGGGAGTGGAATGGAGCTAAGTCCTATGTTCAAGGAGACCAACAGATTAAAGAAGAGCAGGATATAAATGCTGTACAGGGAGTGGTGACCTCAGGGCAAGACCCCACCCAGCTAATCTTCCAATGTGAGAAAAAGAATCAAAGAGAAGCTTAGAGCCAGGTGTGGTGATGCATACCTTTAATCCCAGTACTCAGGAGGCAGAGGTATACAGATTTCTTGAGTTCAAGGCAACCCTGGTCTAGAGATCCAGTTTTAGGATAGCCAAGCTTAGAGAATGAAGGACAGAAAGTTGGTGAAGATGTAATTGAACAAGGGGGCCATGTTCCAGCCCCAGTAAGCAGAAGAACTTGGCAGCTTCTGGAGTTAAGGATAGAAGAAAGGGGCTGTGGAATTTGCCCCTGAGACTAAGGAAAGCTGCTGAGTCCAGGCGTGTGTCGGGGTGTCCCTGAATGGAGGCCTAGAGAGGCCATTGTGTGAAGCTGTGAAGGTGAAGTCTGGATTGCCTTGGAGACCCCAACATGTTGGAGATGCCAGAGTTGTGGGGTACCTGCTGAGGAGAGCTGCTAATAGGGAGTGGATCCAGCCACTTGCTAAAAGGGAATCATTTTTATCTCTGGGAAGAGGAACCTGTGGCCCTTCCATTAACATATGACTGTGGTGACTATTAACTTGTCAAGGTCTGTGCTAATTTCCTCAATCCCTGATCACAAGCCACACCCCAGCTCACACGCCCCCTCTCATTTAATCCTCTGTGCAATTATAGATTATAAAAGTTGTAGTGTCTCCGCCCCAATAAAGTAGCCGTTCAGATTCACCCTCAGATCCTGTCAGTCTTCTCCTTTACCTGCCCAACTCCACACCTCATCTTTGGGACCTGAACCCCACTGGAGTTGGACTCAGGCAAGTCATTATTAAAGAACAAAATGTCCCACAGGCCAAGCTGGTGGAGGCGTTTTCTGTTGAAAGTCCCCTTTCCCACTTGCCTCTAGCTAGTGTCAAGTTGACAAAAACGAAGGATGTTTCCAGTGAAGCTTAACTGAGGGCCCACTGTAAGTGTGAGTGGCACTGCTCCGGTAGGAATATGAACACAGAGAAAAAGGAAGAAAGCTGAGTCCTGGAATCCTTTTCTTCATAATTTATACTGATGTGAGCAAGCACTCTCATACTTCTGCTGCCACAGCCCCCTACTGCCAGGCCTGCCTTCCCCATGATAGATTATATCTCCAAACTGTGTTCCTTCAAAATAAACTCTTCCTCCCTTAAGAGTTTCTTGTCAGGTGTTTGGTTACAGCAATGAGTCATATTAACTTTTTTTTTTTTTTTTTTTTTTTTTTTTTGAGGCAGGGTGTCACTCGTGTAGTCTGGCTGTCCTGGAGCTATGTAGACCAGGCTGGCGTGGGTGTCACAGAGATCCCACCTGCCTCTGCCTCCTAGTGCTGGCATTAAAGGCATGTGCCACTGAGCAACTTTTTCTTAAAATTTTTTTTAAAAAAATTTATCTATTTTGTGTGTGAGTGTTTTGCCTGAATGTATGTCTGTGTACCCCATGTGTGCCTGGTGCCCATGAGGATCAGAAGAAGGCATCAGATCCTCTGGAACTGGAGTAACAGACAGCTGTGAACTATCATGTGGGTTCTGGGACTTTAACCTGGATCTTCTGCAAGAGCAACAAGTGCTCTTAACTGCTGAGCCAACTCTCCAGCCCTCATACTAATTTTTGTAACACACTCCTTACCCTCAAAGTCTTGTTTTGATAGCAGTTTGGTCATACCTTTGGTGCTTCGGTGCATAGTTTCACCCCCTTACACAAGATTTCTTAAGGTATTTCCATAAATAAAGCTTCTACCCCACAAGAAACTAATGTCATCTGTTAAAGAACCTACATGGCCATAAAAGATCCGTATGTCTTAATTTGAGCTCAGGTTCATGTGGATATCAACAGTAAGCACAGAGTTCTGAGGTGGATCCTAAAGACTCAGCCCTTCAAAGATCCTGCTTTAATATTGTAAATTCCAGCCTCCCCTAGAACTTCCTCTTCTGCACACGACAGTATGAGTGATCATTTGGGATGTTCTCTTCTTTGGCAGCTCAAGGACATCTTAGGTGGACCCTGCATTTGTTTGGATTTTGCATTTTTAAGCTCCCCCTTCTCTGTCCTGTTTTTTTGTATAGCTGCAATGATACTTTTTGTTAAGAAATAGTAACTGAAACAAAGGCGAGTACTTTTAGCATGACCATCTTCTCTGCTTTAGCATTGGTCCTGATTTCATCTGGTTGTGTCTTTAGGGTGTATAGCTATCAAAAAAAGGTGTCCTGTTTCCCAGGAATAGTTTTGTTACCACTGGTTTAGGTCAGGTGGGTTCTATACCATGGGAAAAATTACATTTAATTCATTGCTTCGTGTGTTTGTGTGTGGTAGCACAGGTATGCATGGTGTGCATGTGGAGGTCAGAGGACAACTTTCATGAATTGGTTCTCTCCTTCCATGTTGAACTCAGGTCATCAGATTTGGCAGCAAGCACCTTTATCTGCTGAACCATCTTTCCTGTTTTGGTTTGTTTATTTTTTATACTTCTCACTGTCCTTTTCCATACCTCAGGTATTTTCTCTTTTCTTTCTACTTCAGGTATCTTTTGGATAACCCGGATGTTGTTAGAGGAAAGTCTGTCTTAGATCTTGGGAGTGGATGTGGGGCTACAGCAATTGCTGCTAAGATGAGTGGAGCATCAAAGATCTTGGCCAATGACATAGACCCCAGTAAGGACTGCATATTTTAAAATGTTTAAAGCTCACACCCCCCTCTCAGGATACATCATGATCGCTTACTGCCTTGTTTTTGTAATCTGATACTGTGAGGTATGTTCAGTGGGACGTCATCTGGGGCCTGGACTGACAGTGCATTTCCCCAAGAGGATTTGATTTGCTGCTATATATTCCAGAGGGATATAAAGCTGGGGCATGTATGTTAGCTTCTGGGTTGAGAATTCCCTGAAATGTATAAGTAATGTTTATTTGACACAAATTCAAGTAAAGATAAGTTTGTGTCTTTAGTGGATATTTTTACTGCATTAAGACCTAAGTTGTGTTAGGTATGGCAGCCCACACTTTTAAGTCCAGCACTCAGGAGGCAGAGGCAGGTAGACTTCAGAGTTCCAGGGCAGTTAGGGCTACAAAATGAGACCCTGTCTCAAACAAAACAAAACAAAACACAAAAGAGGCCCAGGTGGTGACAGGTAAGCTTTTATTTAATCTGATTTTTTCTGATCCTACCTTCATTTAGGGCAGAGCCCTCCAGGGGTCTTATTTTATTAAGAGGTTTCAGTTATAATTTAATCAAATCTAACATTTGTTTTTCTGTCTACAGTAAATAAACATACCAAAAATAAGCAGAAAATGTTCATAAAAATCCCACCATTGCTGTTCTATATTCAGTATATAGCTTTTTAAAATTTTTCTTTCTTGGTTATAGTCCACATGAGAAAGTTATAGACCACCTTGAATATAAGGCCAAATAATAGTCCTTTGTTGAAGAGACTGAGAGCAGGCTTTTGTCACAGTGAACTCTTCCCCTAGGTTAAACACTACAGAATTTATAAAGATAAAAGACAATTAAATCACATGAGGTGCAGGGTAGGGGAGTTTTTACTTTAAACAAGGGATTATTTCCCAAAAAGGAAGGAGGAACATTTTACAAGCATCATTTCTCAGAAGGGAGAAACTTCTGTCAAGCCGGATGTAGTTCTGGGAGGTGGGTATGGAGTCAGGATAACTGATCTCTCCTAGACCAATTCCCTCCTCTTTTTTTTGAGACAGAGTCTCATGTAGCCCAGATGGCCTCAACTAGCTATGTAGCTAAGGGTAATCTTGGATTTCTGATCTTCCTATTTCCATCTCTCAAGTGCTGGGATTATCAGCATGCACCGCCATGCCCAGCCTCTTTGTTTTGTTTTTTGTTGGTTTAGACAGGGTTTTAGGCTGTAGACCCAACTGGCCTGGTACCTCCCTTTGTAGCCCAGGTTGGCTAATACTTGCAAGGATCTTCCTGCTGCATACTACCATGTCTTGGAGTGACAGGTATGCATCATCATGCCCAGCCAGTATATAGTTTATACTGATATAAACTTTAAACTTCTTTCCCTAAAAAAATAACAGTGGGGGTGGGGATGGGGTGGGGGTGTGTGGAGAGATGGCTCAGAGGTTAAGAGCACTGGCTGCTCTTCTAGAGGATTCAGGTTCAATCCCAGCACCCATATAGCAGTTCACAACTGTCTGTAACTACAGTTCCAGGGGATCCGACACCCTCACACAGACATTAATGCAGACAAAACACCAAAGCACAAAAAGTTAAATTCAACAACAAAATCCCTTTTAACAAAGGAGATATTAGATTATTTTTACAATTATTTATTTATCTGTGTATGTGCCGCAGTGCACATCACATGGGGAGATGGGGATAGCTTGTGGGATTTGGTTCCCCCTTTCCATCATGTGTTTTAGGCATTGAACTCTGGTTTGTTGAGACAGGTTCTTTCTGTGTAGTCCTGGCTGTCCTGGAACTCCTTGTATAGACCAGGCTGGCCTCAAATTCACAGAGATCTGCCTGTCTCTGCCTGCTAAGTGCTGGGTTTAAAGTGCGCAACCATGCCTGGCCTTCAGGCATTGAACTCTTAGATTTAGTGGCAAGCATCTTAACCTGCAAAGCCATCTCCCTGGCCCCTGTTGTTAGATTAAAAAAGGTGTTCAACCACAGAAACTCAGACTATCCCCCATGGACTTTTACAGTTCGTAAAAATGGCAGACAAATATTTATGCAAGGTTTGGAGGCATGATGACATTCTCCTTGTCAAAAAGGTGACTTTTACTGCAACAAATTACTTCCCTCGTCAGTACTAAGATCTTGGTTAAGAGATCTAAATAACAAATGATACAGACTATATACACAAGGCTTACATGTTGTGGAGTTACAGGATGTTGTGAATTTTTAATAATTAATAAATTAATAATTACAAAATTGGCAAAATTTCTAAATACTATTTCCTGAAGAGTAAAGAGGCATATTGTCTGTTAAAGTTTTTATCTCAAAGAGAATGAAATTGTTTATAAGCTATGTTAAAGAACTCTTTATGCAGAATTCATATTAATCATTACTGATAAATACTTATGTTTTGAGAAAAGCTTGGGCTAAAATAGAAAATGAAATATAGAGCTCATGTGAAGGAAAAAAAGGTGTTTTTTTGTTTTTTTATTTTTATTTATTTATTTATTTTTATTTTTTGAGATAGAGTTCCTTTGTGTAACAGTCCTGGCTGACATGGAACTCGCTTTGTAAACCAGCCTGGCCTCAAACTCAGAGATTCACCTGCCTCTGCCTCCCAAGTGCTAGGATTAAAGGTGTGTGCCACCACTGCCTGGCTCAAAAAAAGGTGTTTTTAAACACCTTAACAAGAAAGTACAATAGCTTACTCATAAATGCTTATAGACCAATTTATCATGTTTTGTAAAGTTGCAGGAATGGCGATTACACTAAATTGCAAATTAAATGGACTGAATCCTTTTCCCATTTTAACTGAAAACATTCTGAATACTCAGCAAGGTAAGTTTGATGTCATTGTTCTTGGAGATATGTTTTATGACGAAGACCTTGCAAACAGTCTTCATCTGTGGCTGGAGAACTACTTTTGGACCCACAGAACCCGAGTATTGATTGGTGACCCTGGGAGGCCCCAGTTCAGTGGACATAGCATTCGGCATCGGCTGCATCAGCTGGAAGAATACATACTTCCAGAGCCAACTCAGCGGGATAACAATGGACTGACCACAAGTGCAGTGTGGGAATTTCATCCCTGATTTGTCAGGGTGCTTTTATTATGGGTATAGTTCTGTTTGTATTAAACTCTAAAACTTTCCTCTGTAGGAGGTTCAGTTTAAAGAATGCAATTCAGTGGGGTGTGGTGGCTTGAGGCTTGAATACCACCACTTGGGAGGCTGAGGTAGGCTGATCTCTGTGAGTTTGAAGCCAGACTGGTCTGCATAGTGAGTTAGTTCCAGGACAGCCAGAGCTACATAATGAAACCCTATGTAATGGAGAAAGTTATTTGAAATTTCCTCTGTCCGGCCCTGCATAGTCATGCACTTGTTTAATCCCAGCACTTGAGAGGCAGAGGCAGGTGGATCTCTGTGAGTTTGAGGCCAGCTTGGTCTACAGTGAGTTCCAGGGCAGCCAGAGTTACATGGTGAGACCCTGTCTCAAAAAAAAAAAGAAAAGGAAAAAATAAATTTCTTTCTTCCTTTGCTCTAATACCTTGGATAACTCTGGTTATCTAAAACTTTGGTTTACTAAAGTTAGTAATGGTTATGTTCCCACTTCATATACCAGGTTGTCAGGATTTTATAACAGCAAAACACTGAACTCTAAGCAAAAATAATGTGAATAATACATATCATATACAACTGATTATGTAGAAAGTATATCTCTATATGTATTTATATATAATATACACAATTTGCTGCAGTATTAATATCTCTGGAAGATAAGGAACTAGAGTGTTATCTTTCTGTTACTGTAACAAAATAACTGATAAAAATCAACTTAAAAAGGAGAGGTTTATTTTGACTCAGTTTCCCAGAGGCTCCAATCCTTGGTCTTTGGCTCCACTGTTGTGCAGCGGCGGCAAGGTAGGATGTTACAGCAACAACAGTGTGCAGTAGAAGTGGCCAGGAAGCAGAGAGCCAGAAACCAGGAATAAGATAGACCCTCTAAGGACACAACTGCACGGACTTCTTCCAACAGAGCCGCACCTCCTAGAGTTCCCATCCATGAGGAATCAGCCCAACTCAATTTTGTAATCAGGAAACCAACTCCAGTTAATTTCCATTTACTGTAAAACTTAAGTTTCTGTTTATCAGAACTGGGCTGTGCCCCACCATCATAACCATAGACTGTTCGGTAACAGATGTTCCAGGAAGATTTCCTTAACTGCCTAGTCTTGCTTCTGTAACCACGCTTGCTTGCAAAATCTCCCACCCTGCAGTTTTGCCCTATAAAAGAGGTATGAAAAATTGGCTCAGGGCTGTTCTCTTGAACCCTGTCTTCCCAATAGTCCATTCAGTTATGAATCCATTAATGAACTAATCCATTGGTGAGGTCAGAGACCTCATAATCTATCATTCCCCCCAAGTTCCTGCCTGGAGGGGATTTCTGTCAGGGTTGAGAACAGATGCTACAATTGGCTAAGGATACTACTCTGAGGGATATCAAATGAATCTAAGCACACTGAGTTCCTTAGTCCATTCACTTTATTCTTCTAAGTCAATTCTATCTACACAGCTTCTTTTCTGTTCTCATACTTAGCTCCTCTCAGTCCCTCTTGCTCTCAGTCCCTTCTGCTGTTCTCTCATCTTTATCTAGTTCTTTCCATCTTGTCCTCATCTTTGTTCTTATCAATCAATTCTCCTATTGCTGTTCTATGATATCTATCTAGGTCTTTTCCATCTTCTTTCCTCCTTTTTTCCCCCAAGTATGCACGTATGTATGTATGTATGTATGTATGTATGTATGTATATATGTATGTATGTATATTCATTCATTAACAACTTGTTAGTAAAAACTACAAAGTTAACTCTCAGGGACAAGTAGTCTGATAAGAGTCACACTTGGCAAAGACTTGGTCAGCTTAATTGGTGATTGACAACAGCTGTGGGTTGTAAAAAGTTCTGGCTATCTCTTAAAGGGATAGCTACAAAGATTACAAGGAAAGAAATTAAACCAATGAGAGATTTAAGGAAAAGGCAAAGAATATGTGTACTATTTTATGTGATTAATAATATCCAGACATGGTTAGTCAGTTAACAACCTTTTTCTGTTAGTTACCTGAATCTCAGGACCTATATATAATTAGTCTACTGAGTCTAAAATCTTGCATTAAAAACTGGTATAGAAATAAATACAAAGTTTTGTTATTTAAATCAGAGTGGGGAGGTGCTAGTGGAGGAAGCTTAGGGTAACATAGGTGCTATTGTTCTCTTGAAGGACTAAGATATACCAAGGCCAGACACCTGCAGTTCTGCTCTGTGAAAGTTCTATGAGGACACTTTGGCCAATATTTACCTTGTCAGTGGCTAAGGATGGAGAGTAAGACCTCTAAGTGTCTACAGTCCACATGGAACAACAGATCTAGCATGAACCATATTTTAGTATGTTTCTATTCATAAAAATTGTACAGTTAAATAAGAAACCATCTTTTAGACTACCACAATTATGAGTGCCTATTAAGATTAAGATGCAATCATGAGATTACATGTACCACCCCAGCCCTATAATGGCATTTCATACTTAATTTGTACACATTTCTGGGACTGGAGATATAATCTAATGGTACAGCACTTACCAAGCATGCATGGAACCCTAGATTCAATACCCAGTAAAACCACACACACACACATACACGTTTATGAATCTGATTTTGCACAGGAAGAAGCTCATAGATGAACAAAATGTACTTGGAAAGAGCAGCCATAAAACCCAATGAAATTGCCTTGGGATACAGCTCAGTGGTAGCCTGTCTGCCTAGTATATGAGGCCCTGAGTTCAAGCCCTAGAATTGAGTGGGATAAGAATCAATGAAATGAGTGTCTGAGCAAAAGCCTCAGTAATGTGAATATGTTGAATGGCAGCCCCCCCCTTTGAATATTAATCTTTTTGGTGCTGAGAATCCAACCCTAGCATCATGCAAACTAGGCAAGTGTTCTACCACTGAGCCACTTTTCCAGTTGAGTGTCTCATAACTGGTGAATTATTACCATTGATTCCAGTGAAACAAGTATATCCATTTCTGTGAAGAGGTAACAGGCCTCATGTTCTACTTTGCTTTTGGCTGAATATTTCATGAAGGTAAAAACCAGAAATCGACTCAGAAGGTAATTACGCTTTTTAAAGCATCTTTATTTAGAATTCTACCCATAATGTCTCTTACAACAGCTCAAATACCTACACCAGAGAATGGACTATAAAGGGAAAATAAATCATTTGAAACTTTTGTTATTAAAGAAACAAACCCAGCCTCCTTCCCATCAAGTGATAAAAAGATGGCTCATCAAACAAATATGAGATAATAGAAGTGTTAAAATGCTGAGTCTGGTTAACTTAAAAGCACAAACATTTACATTAAGATTGAATTGGTTCTCTGGGAGTTACAGCTTAACTAAGACAATAAAATAATAAATTAGTGTTAAATTAAGTGAAAAACAAATATTTATAGAGCATATCCTGGAAAAGTTCCTCAGATCAGCCTCTGTGAAGATCAATAAACAGACCAAGTCACTTGCTTTAGTTTTCTCGATCCTACTAATTGCTCCAAGACTTCTCGTGAATGATCTATAAAAGAGAACAATGACAATATATTAATTTATAACAATTAAAGATATTTAATGTTTTTTCATATGTAAACTGGATATAAGCTGGGTGTGGTAATGCATGCCTTTACTACTGGTACTTGGGAGGTTTCGGTAGGAGACTCAGGAATTTAAGGCAGACCCAGCTCATAGCAAGTTGGAGGCTAGCCTGGGCTATATAAGATCCTGTCTTGACATAAAGAAAAAACAAACAAAAGCTAGGTGTGATGATAGCTATTACAGGGTTATTGGAAGGGTTAAAAACAACATGAAATAGAAAGCACAGTGGAGCTGGTGGGATGGCTCAAGAGGTAGTGCACTTCTTGCCAAGCCTGACAACCCAAGCTCCATCACGGGGAGCCACAGGGTGGAATGAATAGTGTGACCTCCTCGACATGCACACTAGATAGCACATATGCACCTCTCTACACACAAATAAGTAATGTAAGTTACAAAGCATATTTAAAAAATATATTTATTTTGCTGGACATGGTGGCATGCACCTTTAATCCCAGCACTCGGGAGGCAGAGGCAGGCGGATCTCTGTGAGTTTGAGGCCAGCCTGGTCTACAAAGTGAGATCCAGGAAAGCTAGGGCTACACAGAAAAACACTGTCCTGACAAACAACAAAAAATTGTTTACTTTAAATTTTATGTGCTTAGCCTGAATGTATGTAATGTGTGTTGGTGTACCACTTGTCTGCCTGGTGCCCACAGAAGCCAGAAGAGAGCATCAGATTCCCTGAACTGGAGTTACAGACATCAGGCAGGTGTTGGTAATTGAACCTGGGTCCTCTGGAAGAGCAGCCAGTGCTCTTAACCCCTGAGCTAGATTGCCAGCCCTGGTAAATAAATGTACTTTTAAAATTCAAAGCATAGTATACAAATGAATAACTCATTAATAATTAGTTAATGGTACTCTTCATTATCATTAGATTTTGCACTCCGAACAATGTAATTATTTTTTTCTTTTGAGAAAGGCTCTTTCTATGTAGCTCAGACTGGTCTACATAAGTGAATTTCAGGCCAGCCAAAGCTACATAGTGAGAGACCCTGACATGCCCACCACCACCACCACCAAAAAAAGAAAGGTAAGATATCGCACACTTCTAATTCCAGTGGTGGTGGAGACAGGAACATCCCTGGGGCTCAGTGGCTGACTCCTGAAGAAGGACAACTAAGGTTATCTCTGGCTTTCATAGGCACACAAACAGGTACATGTATCCCCTCCCCCAACATGTGCACCTCACACATAGGAACATACGACATTTTAAAAAACGTAAATTAAAAAGAAAAAAAATACAGATTTCAGGTTAGCGGTGTAAGTCAATGGTACAGCGCTTGTTTAGCATCTGCAAGGTCCTGGGTATAACTCCAGCACCCTAACAAACAAACAAAATCACATGTTAAAAGTAAGGAACTGGACAAAGATACAGGATGCAAAGAGCTACTGTACAAAGCTGGAGAGACTTTGTAGAAGGAAGGGAAACACTTCTCAGCTCATTCTGTGGAAGGCTACTACTGTCTTGACAGCAAATATAATCAAAGATATCACAAAAGAAAGGAAGAAAGAAAGTTAGGAAGAAAGAAAGGAGAAAGAAAAATCAAGATCTCTTATGAATGTAGACTCAAAAATCCTCAACAAAACCTGCAATACCCAAATCTAGCAACTGCAAAAAGATCATATACCATGATTGCCTGGATTTTAACATCTGAAACTCAATTAATATATTTACCTTGTATTAGTTTCCTATTGCTGCTCTAACAAGCACCTAATTCAGTGGTTTAAAACAGTATCAATTTATTATTGTACAGTTTTAAAGGACAGAATTCTAAAATGGATATGACTGAACTAAAATTAGGGTTTGGCCTATCTGTACTTCCTTTTAGAGGCTCAAAGGAGAATTCACTAATAACATTTTCAACTTTAGAGATCTGTTTTTTCTGGAATCCAAGATGACTGGAGGTTTGGGACAGTAACCAGCAACTTTCAGGTGTCCTTTGGAAGTACAGAATAGAACATGATAAAAGTTGACAGATGATGTTACTCTCGCCTGTTAGGGGTTGTCTTAGTTAGGGTTTCTATTGCTGTGAAGCAACAGCATGACCACGCAACTCTTATAAAGGAGAACATTTAATTGTGGTGGCTCGCTTTCAGTTTCAGAGGTTTAGTCCATTATCATCATGACAGGAAGCAAGGCAGCGTGCAGGCAGACATGGTGCTAGAGAGGTCTTATATCTTGACTCACAGGCAACAGGAAGTGGTCTGAGACACTGGTCAGTATCTTGAGCATATATGAGACCTCAAAGCCCGCCTCCACAGTGATACACTTCATCCAACAAGACCACACCTCCTAATAGTGCCACTTTCTTTCAAACTACCACAGAGGTCATCAGATCTCAGATAGGCATTCAAATACTTAACTCTGCAGCATTAAACAGGTGACTAACCCAGAGTAAAGGAATGTAAAATGTACAAATGTAAAATGAAGGCTGAGATCCAAGGTTCATTCTGCTTTTGGTAAATATGGGTCCACGGGAGGAGTCAGTACTTTTCAGCAATAACAGTTCTCTCTCTCTCTCTGTCTCTGTCTCTCTCTCTCTTCTGAGACAGGGTTTCTCTGTGTAAGAGGCCTGGCTATCCTGGAACTAGCTCTATAGACCAGGCTGTTA